ACGTACACACATAACACAAAAAACCACACCTATACATGATGAGGGCCAACAAGCCCGAAACACAGATCTCTGCATCTTTTTTCTCTTGGCATCACATGGTTTTTTCTACATGTAAGTATACACACCCAGCATAGCACGCTGTTTCTGTCAAGTTAAGATCCATATTATGATAGTCAGTATAAATTTGAATGCTGGATAAAAAAATTGCACATAATACGCATGGCTTGCACAGGGCTTCTTTGTGGTTTGTAAGAGCGGAGACGTGATGCTACTCTAGCCGGTGTTTCCATGTACTGGGCTCGTAGTTTCTGTAAACGCACACGCACGAGTTTACTACAGGGAGCTTGTAGAGGTGACATGGCAACTCTTGTAACCCAGGAGTATTGGTTACAGCTATAATGGAGAGCATAAGGCTGCATGCAGTGTTATTCCCACTTATGTGCAGTGGGCTCAAAAGTGGTTTAAGGATGTGTGTAAGTACACGTCATAACAGGTGGTGGGGAGTACAAAGGTCTTATGTAGCAGAGAGACTGTGCAGTACAGGGCTATAGTGCAACCTCTTAGAGAACCTTAGGGGAAAGAAAAATTTTGTGAATTTTGCTGAGGGACCAGCTCAAGTTTTTTCTCTTCGAAATTTGTGCACGCAGACAATTTTGCACAGGGGGCATGGCAACGTGTAAAATTTTATCCACAAAATCCTTTTTTGCCGAGAAATCCTTTTTCTCTCTCGAAATTCCCGCTATACCATATACACGTCGGACTGGTATAATGATGTAAAATGACTTGAAAATTATCAACGATGACTTTTGTGTGGTGCTATTCCCCTAGGGATGGTCATTGCATGATTACGAAGGTATGTATGCTAACTTTCGTGTCATAATAACTATCTGCATAGTAGCCGGTATATGTATATAGTGTCTGTGTATAATATGATGGAAGTTGAGTGTTGCTACATTGGGTCATTGACAAGCTTAGTCTTCCAGGAAATGTAGTAGCCTCAGGGTTAATCATGCAGACAAATATCACACGCCAAAATGCACATTTGAGGTCCTGCCCATAGACAATAGCTGCCCGTGGTGTGTGAGCACTCATACATCACTAAGTACGGTAGTACTTAGTATATAGGGGTACCTAGCATCATGGATGTATGGGGCTATGATAGGGAGTTTTGTACGTAACGTAAAAGTACGTAAATTGCTGCACATAAAATAGTACAGCACGCATACTGTATGCGTGTAGTACTTAGTATATAGGGGTACCTAGCATCATGGGAGGGAGTTGATAGGGAGTTTTGTACGTAACGTAAAAGTACGTAAATTGCTGCACATAAAATAGTACAGCACGCATACTGTATGCGTGTAGTACTTAGTATATAGGGGTACCTAGCATCATGGGAGGGAGTTGATAGGGAGTTTTGTACGTAACGTAAAAGTACGTAAATTGCTGTACAGCACGCATACTGTATGCATATACGGAAGTACAATACCGCGTACACGTTACCTGTGTGTGTGTATACAGAGGCAGAAAGGTTTGTGTGCATAACACTAAACTTTCAAACTGTGCCACTTGCTTGCGGACCATATGCGCCGGTGTTTTCTCAAGCCGGTGGCTAAACAAAACGCTGTTTACAGAAAACAGCATTACCGTGGATACCGGTGTGTTTTCAGTGGTACCATGCATTGCCCAATGTATTATACATGGATGTTTTTACATGTACGTACTTGTGTGCAGGTGTTCTGTGTATTATAGTGACAGGGAACATGTGTGCCAGTGTAACAGTGAGAGATTTTTTGGAAGTGTATAAGTTACGGGAGGACACATTATCACGCTGAATTAAATGGCAGAGTGTCCATTACTATTCCTTTCCTACCCTCTCTTTCACCATCTTTCTCCCTCCTTTCTTCCTCCACCTCTCCTCCCTCTATCCTCCCTATCTTTTTTCTTAGCCCATCACGATAATAGGTCCCCCGGAGTGCTGTACGGAGGCCTGTTTTCAAATCATGAAGATCATGCAGAACGAACTACTCATGACCAGCGGGATGCTCGAGAATGGGTGAGTGTGTGTACAGGAATGGGGGAATGGAGAATGGAATACCATATTTGTGTGTGGGGGGGTGATCTTTCGTACTTTTAGCGAGCATGTGGGGGGAAGTATGGGCCAACCAACCATCTTGAACAACTGGACTATAACTAAGGAATGCAGTGCATTTGACCTGCAAACAGGGGAATGGGTCACTGAACGTAACAGGAATGATAATATGAGAATGGACGAATGGAGAAATGAAATTGGGTGAGCTTAGATAAGTATCAGAGCATGGGCAAATTTGTTCCATGCTGACAGACAGACAGACAGATTGACTAAACGACCTGACCAGTTGAACACACACACACACACGTACACTTCTGCCCAGACAGACACACACGACATGCACAGACAGACAGACATGCACAGACAGACATGCACAGCAGACAGACAGACATGCACAGACAGACATGCACAGACAGACAGGCAGAGCCAAGGAGCCTAGAGCACCCATACAATCAGATATCAGCTGAAAACAGGAAACCTCTCTCTCTCTCTCTCTTACACATCCTTACAACATCTCCACTGTGGTCAAGGCTGCCGCACCAATGCTGATGAAGCAGGCATGATCTTACAAGCATATAATGTGGCTGCAGGCTTTGTGGATGCCTTTGCATCAGTGGCGGGGAAGAAAACGCACAGGGCTTTGTACTACTACGTGGCAAAAGCCACAAGTGGCCTCTACTGTAAACGTTGTATGCTTCAATCACGTACGGGTGTAAGGAAATTTACACGGTGGTGTCATGGACTCAGTGGAAGGTTTCTGTCTCTCTCTTCACTTAAGCCTCCTTTTTGTAGCTCCGTCCTCTCCCTCTTCTCTCTCTCTCCCCCTCCCTCTCTCTCTCTCTCTCCCCTCTCTTTCCTTTTCTTCCTTCCTCCCTCCCCTTCTCTCTCACCTGTCTCCTCTGCCTCCTCCCTCCCTCTCTTTCTCCTCCAGAGGTTGACAAACAACCTGGTGTTAATCGGCTAGCATACCCCAACACCAGAATATCCCAAGAGAGAGTTTTTATAGCCAGCATGTCCACCCACTACATTATTTCTGTCTTCATGTCACGTTATCCGCCTAGGGGCTCACCTGAAATTGAGCCCCTATCATGCATATACTGACCTGGCGTACAATTTATAACCACTGCTTGATGCATCCATATATGTAATCACTGGCTTTTATCTGCACTAGCACTCTTTGTTCCCTTGATACATTTAACCACTTCTGATTGTATTTCCTACTCGCTTGGGCTATATGGCGACAATATGCTAGCCACTTGGCTTTGTCCAAAAAACAACTGGCTTGCTTGCTAAGCATAGCCACCGAGCCACACCATACCTTCGTGGTTCAATTGTGCAGTGTCTAACTAAGCAGCGTATGCTTGTACAATGTCCCCAACTGAAAACGATGCAGTCGCTTGCATCTACATGCAAGCGGTACATGAAAACATGTGTCGACATGTAGTAATCAGATGTAGGGCGGCTCCGTGAAGGCTAGCGCTATGACCTAATGCACAAGGAATGTACTTAGCCCCCTATCTACCCACCTTGCTTCCTCTGGTGGTCACACTATTTCGTCAGAAGAACACTTGCTCCAATTCTGTCTCAATTAGAGACGATGTAGGCCAATTCAAATTTAACAGGACCTTATTTCTGAAAATTGCTTACCTTCTCTGATATTAAGAGTTTCGTAACGTTTCGTAGCAAATTTCAATTGGAACTATGTAACCAATTTGTTTCTGCATTTTCAATCCAATCTTTTTTCACTGCATTTGGCTTCAGTCATATATAACTGCAGCGGTGACCATTAAAGATTATAATTGTCATTATACACAGATATATGAGGTTTTTATTAACACTTTCCCTCTTTCGTCTGTTCCTCATCCCCCTCTCCCCCCTCACAGTAAATTTCACGAACCCCTGCCAGTGGTTCCCCTGAAAGTTCTGGCCCACAACGAGCTAGTCGGTCGAGTCATCGGGAAAGGAGGCAACACCCTCAAGAGAATCATGTCAGAATCCGGAACCAAAATCACAATCTCAAAGTAAGTCGGTTCCAAAATTCCTGGCCGGGCACAAATAGTCAAAAGTTCAAAAGTGCAGTGTCCCCTGTATATAAAAGAATTGAAGGCTTCACAACTTTAGGCTTAGATATTAGGGACTTTGTCCATTGAAGGTGTACTGAAGTACATATTAGGAGGTGTCCTTAGCTTGCCGGTAACCCCAGCTCGGTATTCCAATCAGTGTGCAAGCCCGTGCAGTTCGGATTAGATAGGGACCTGTATGTCCATTGTCACAGAACAACAGGCTCCTGGAGTCCCCGGCTTACCAGTGCATTAGCCACTGGGAGGAGAGTGGGGTACCTTAACTATATTCATAGCCCCTCCCCCATATGGCGCTCACAGGAAGTGTACCCTCAACGCAGCAGTACAAATTCAGGGCTGGTGCTTTCCTTATTAGGCTCACATACTATGCCTGTATGTATATTACATAGACGTATGAGACGGTGGTGGTGGTGGTGGCTTTGAATGTGGTAAGAGTGCACAGCTATACTATAGAGAGTTTGAATAGCGTTTGAGAGTTTGTGATAGGCTGGTGTTTGATGCGTCGGGAACGTGAATTTTGGTACCGGGAGTGGATTTATGGGGCGTTGCCGGGCTGATTAAATTCCGAGCAGCTGCCTTGCTCTAGGCACATGACCCGCTGTGATTATGGTTGTAAAAACACACGTCGCATGGAGATTTGTGTGACCTTTGTGTGTGTGGATTTGAGAACTTTTATTCCTTCCTTCTCACTGCGAATGCAAATAATAGCTGCATCATTATGGACAACGGCTCATGTCATTGTGTATACATAATAATGACGGTTCATAACTGTACAAGTGCATCAATCATGGGATAAATACACGTCCTACATACATCAAGACTGCATATTGTCTTTATTGTCTAATTTCATACAAATTTGGAATTTACGTTTGATAAAGAGACCAAGTACAAAGAATTGTTTTGTTGTATAAATATTTCGCCCAGTCCCAGTTTCCGGGAAAAGTTCAAAATAGTACGTGTGATGAATTTTTTTGACATACGGGTGCGTGTGGAGTTGTGTCGTCTTCAGAAAATCTCTCGGTGTGCATAGTTTTTATTCCAAGATGTCTTGTCTGCGGTCAAAACGTGCATAACTGTGGTTGTTGGAACGTTTCCATAGACGACGCAAGCTTCTGTTCTGCTACGTAACTTTGCCAGTGATATTTTAATAATCTTATGTTGCTACTAAGTATGCAGACTTGCATCTGCTAACTAGCAAGCTTTGATGCATTACGTTTGCATTACGAAAAACACAGTAGCGGCGCTGCATAATATGAATATGGGGACTCCAAGTGACATTTTAGACGTTTGAGGATACTAAATTGTAAATCCCTTTGAGAATAATTTGCGAAACGAATTGGTGAACATTTTATTGCTAATTGTGATTCCATTATAGACGACCACCATGCAATGCCTATATGTATGTATAGATAATCTTGTCACGTGTAAGTTGGGTGTCCATTAGTACGTAGTTGTCTGGGGAATTATATCACGCTTTGAGTTTTTACTGCCGATTAATGCACTACAATTAGGGAATTCCTTTGTGTGTATATTCACAGTGTCGGTTTTCTCTCTCTCTACCTCATCTCACTCCCTCCCTCCCTCTCTCCTCTCCCTCTCTCCTCTCCCTCTCTCCTCTCCCTCTCTCCTCTCCCTCTCTCCTCTCCCTCTCTCCTCTCCCTCTCTCCTCTCCCTCTCTCCTCTCCCTCTCTCCTCTCCCTCTTTACCTCCTCTCACTCCCTCCCCCCTCTCCCCCTTCTCCCCTCTCGCAGATTGAAAGATCTCACTGCATACAACATGGAAAGAACAATAACCATTCTGGGAACAATTGACAACTGCAAAAAGGCAGAGTCGCTGATAAGTGCAAAACTGAGGGCCTCGTACGAGAGTGACATGGCGCAGTTCATCCCAGTTAGTGTGAGTGGATATAAAGATATGGAGACAGTAGCAGCTGTATGTATGGGTGTGGATATATAAAGATGTGGAGACAGGAGGAGAGGAGAGGGAGAAGTGGAAGATAACGAAAGAGAGAGAGAAATGGAGAGGGGAAAGAGGGAGAAGTGGGAGGGAGAGAATAGTGAGATATAGCTGAAAAAACTCTGATGGATTCACGAAAAAAGATACTCAACTTGCAGCATGGCTCTGTACAGTTATGTAACATAATAATTATGGTGTCTAAGTGTATAGTGGTTCAAGAGGGATGGGCGCGAGAGCTTTAGGCCGTACTGTTGGGTGAGCCCTAGTGTGTGTGCATGTGTAGCAGCATTAATTAGGTCTCAGAGATGTCGGCCGTGGGAGTTGGACCCAACTCCAGGTCTGCACTCTGCTGTCTTCTCCCCACAACTCTGAAACTACTCCATTACGGAGGGAGTTCGGAATGTGCAGAGCGGGCATGTATGGCTCCCTTATCTCCCCGCACACAGCCAAACAGTTCACCCCTCATTCACTGTGTCTACTCCAAGTTGGGGTAGGGCTGCATTCTTGACTTTACCACAGCCTTGCCTGAAGTATATGGATGCCTACCTCCCTACGTACTTAGCCTCTTGCCCAGACTCCATCCTCAAGAGAGGAAAAGTGTCTGGTGACTATACTGAGCGTTTTCTTGGTTTTGCTGACTCGGCGGTCTTAATTTTGAGACAACGAATCAGATTGCAGTATTTGCGACGAGCGTGAAATATCACATGACGATAATAGCAGGAAAAAATGTTGGAGGGAGAAGACTTTTGGCGAATTTCACGCAGAAAAAATTAATACCTGCCCACAAAATTTTGCCCCTGTGTGGGACTTTTAAACTCTGCTCTCTAGGTACGCATATATATACTTGTGCTGTGTATACCAGTAAGGCAGTTAAGATTGGTGGTGGATGTATAACAATGAAATACTCGTGTGTGTGCAGCATTTATACAATTGACTACTAACACTGCACTCTCCTTACGGTGCGATAGTACGCGTAGTGTTGTTTCGCAAGCACAATGAGTACACTCTCAGTCTTAGCGTGTGTTTTTATACCAACGTTCATATACAGTATGCCGCACCTAACATTGAGGTCCAGGTACATGGCATGGTGTATTATGGTGTTTAGAATTGGGAAAAGTGTTGAATTGTTAACAAAGAAGCGTGTGTAAATGTACAGTTACTTGTGCTGAATTGACATACACGTTGAATGGTGTATTGTGCGCGTGGGGCGTTTATGGAATTCACGTTGTAAACTGTAGCATTTGTAACTTGTTACACTGAGAAAGCAAAGCACGCGCGTGCCACCTGTCGTGATAGTAGACAGCTACATATGTACAAGGAAAGTATTGATTGTGCTCGTATAAAGACCTGCGCCTAAGATAGAAGAAGGCGTGTGTGTGTGTGTGTGTTGCTTTTCAGTGCTAGTGTGTGAGTTGATTTAACCCTTCTAGTTATGGGTAGGGTCAGCATAATGTGGTGTGTTAGTGGACGCAAGCAAGCTAAGGTGTGTAAATTATACCAAACACAGCTTGATAATTTGCTCTGTAGACGTATTTCATTACTTATTGTGACAATAATTATGTTGCGATCTTGTGCTGCTTTTGCGACGCATCTTCGAAGCCCCAATCATGGAATGATCAAATTACGAAAAAATATGTTAACTATCTCCTTACCTCTCTGTCTTACGACGTATGTGCTTCTCCCTCTCCACCTTTTCTCTCCTGCCACCCACCCCCTCTCTTCTCTCCCTCTCCTTTTCCTCCTATTCCGTCACAGGAGCAGACCCAGGGAATTTACTCCCAGCCTCCCAACCTCTCCCCCTCTCCGACAAACATCCCTCCCTCCCCGAACCCGCTCTCCTCAGACTTCCGTCGCATGCCGCAGTCGCTCCCGGCCACGCCCACCAGCGTCCGAACCTTCACCGATTTTTCCGGCGAGCACAAACGACTCACGACTCTACACGGATCCACAGGTGCCCTGGAGGTCAGCAATCTCGGCGGGTTCAAGCTGGGATCGGCCATCGCCATGAGCTCGGGGTTAAACGGCATGATGAACGGCGCAGGGATTGGTGGTGGAGGGGTTAACGGAATTGGAATGAACGGTGGAGGAATGGGCGGAGTCCATGTTGCCGTCGGGCAGGGCTCCGTTCCGCTCCAGGGAAAGTATTCCGGAGCTTTCGAATCGTCCATCGATGGTTTCGTGAAGAGCGGTGCCATGAGCACTCCGACCACGCCCCTCCCGGAGTTCGTTCCCATGACGATATCCAACGGAATGCGGGGAGTCAACGGTGTCGGGGGTGGGATCACGAAGACCTCTCCCCCTGGCCCCCTGCACACTCCAATTGCCGAAGTCGATGACGAAATCTCGGATGTCTTCACCACGCTCTCAGTGAAAGACCCGATGGTGGCCGCACCCGGTTACGGTCGCGGGCGTTTCCGCAGGAGCAGCGCACCCGTGAACACATCGATGCAGCATGTGTGGGGGTCCGTCACCGTGGGGGAACTGGCGGGGGAAATTTCGACCCCCAATGGGGGTCCTTCCCTGGATGTGGTGGGTGCTGGAGGAATGGGCGGGCTCATGGGCGGTAACCGTGGATACGCAAACTCGACGGTGTCGTCGGGGTCGGGGTTCAACGGGTGGAATGCTCCCACGGCGCTCTCTGGTGTTCCCGTGACAACGGTACCTCCGCAGACCCCGGCAACGGCATCCAACATTTGGTCAGGTGGCCTCCAGCCCATGGTGACCTCGCAGCAAGGAAGCCGACCAAACAGCCAAACCAGCAGCTACTCCAACTCCTCAGAGCCCGGAAGCTCCTCCCTCTCTGCGTTCAGCCCCATATACTCCCCGACGATCGGCAACTCGTCAAACGGGTTTTTCTCGCAGCAGGAACCGGTTTCTTCCTCATCCTCCGGTCTCTTAGTGTCGGCTAGCCCCCTTGGAGTGACCAGCTCTGAAAATCATAATCAGCCAGCTTTCAAGGTATCTCACCCACTTCCCCTCATGTGACTTTGAATAGGTCCTCTGTGGGCAATGAATATGGTACAGTGAGTAGCACATGACAATAGGCTTCCCAGATACATTACTAGCTGGCAGAGCATGTATATACTCGTTCCCCTTCTCCTGTTCTTTCCCTTCTCTCTCTTCTCTCTCTTCTCCACTCTCTCTCTCTCCACTCCCTCCTCTTCATTATCGCTCTTACCCAAACCCCTAATACATGCACGATCCTCCATATCCATGCATTATCTTCCATATACGGTACAACGTTATGTCAAAAGGCGTGTGGTACAATACATAAAAGTTTTAAAGTATATGTAGATGGAGAGTAGATTAGGGCTGTGTGTGTAGGGGGTTATTATGGGCTGGTACCCATATCGGAGTTCATACAATACATAAATGGTATATATACCCCTTATCTATTCATGGTTAGTACAGTAGATTAGTTTATGTAATGAGCTGTAATACAGTGAACCTTCTCTAATGCGGACACCAATGGGACAGAAGAATGTGTCCTCCATAATTATTGAGATAACCGTATTTCAGGGGTTAAATTGCATGCAAGAAACTGTTATAATCATTGGGGAAAGAAAAGGTCACCTTAATAGAGGTGTCCTTATTTTGTCAGGGCGTTTCGTTAATTTGGTTTCACTGTACAGCCATTATACCATATCGGCAGTTGCCTCTGTCGCTGGTGGGGCGTGCTGGCGAGATGTCGCCAGGCAGCTGTGCGTGTGTGGCTTTCAAAACTGCTGTGCAAATTGTTGACCCAGACAGCATATGGAGGAGTTGTATCTGTCACAACTTGCCACCTTATCTGAACTTCCGATGCATTCTGCGTGGCCCTTATGGTAGTAGGTATATATACCGTGGAGTAGTCTGAGCAGGAATGCCGTGCTGTAACCCTATACCCCAACTGCTCTACTGTTGACTAAGTGGGCAATAGTTGCCCACAAGAGCTCCTCTCTATAGTAGCCCACGGGCGCTTATGACGTGTTAGTAGCCTATGGGCTCTTAATAGCCGCAGGCTCTTAGTATAATTGTCTTGTGTGCTTTTTCTGTAGGCTATCAGTATGGCAGTCTCCAACTGCTCCAATTTCTCCGCTGACAGCATTCCGACCAGCGTAAGTATAATAACAATACGTGTCAGTACATAAATTTAGTACTAAACAGTAGAGTGCAATGCAAGAATCCAGTTTTTTGCTTTTTAGTTGGTTGCTTTACCGCATTTTAGCGGAAGTTCCAAACTCTTCTTTCTTTGTGTTGCAACTTCATCGCGTTAAAAAGAAGCACTGATTACCTTTTTCCCCGCCATTCCCTCCCTCTCCTCCCTCTCCTCCCTCTCCTCCCTCTCCCTCCCTCCCCTCCTCTCCTCCCTTCCCTTCCCTCCCCTCCCCCCATCAGACCATCACATCAGTCATCCCAGAGGAAGATGATCTTTTGCCAACATCCTGTGCAATGGACCACGGCTTTTCCAACGAACTGCCCATCCCCGCAGTAAGCCTGGGTTCAAAATACGTTTTTTCGCCCCCAATTGTGCCATGCCACGTCGCGTTATGTCTTGGTTTTTTGGGTAGAGTACCAACAGTGGTCAGGATAGAGAACAAAGCAAAATTTTTTTTGGTATACTGCATGTTTTTAGCTACACACAGTGACTGCAAACACACGTGTAAAGGCAACTCTTTCTGTGGTAACCCTTCGTGTGTCTTCACATTTCGTCCCGCAGATCGCTTCACACTGGTGAAACTCCGCCCCCTGACCACACCCCCTATTACCTCACTGCTCCTTCACTGTACCACTAACTACCCTTGAAACCCTCCCACCCATGTGTGCCGTCCGCAAAATTTCGATTTTCCCCCCTCTCGATCGACAATACACAACAGTCACTGTCGCCACAGTGTCTGTTACCATGACAACGTCTCTGTTACCACGACAACAAACTCTCCTGTCCCTCTCTCTGTCATCAGTTACCCAATGTCAAAAAATCATGTACATACCTGTATTCGCATCTCGAGTTTGATTCTCTCGCCAGCCGAAATTTTTCATACCTGTTTTCACTCCATTTAACGCCCGCCGTCTCTATAATTCCCCATTCTCGCTCCCAACACAGCAAGTCACTTTTATCTATCTCACCCCTCACCCCTCACCCTGTCCCTTATTTTTCTTGGAGTCTCAGAAATTCAGTATACCTGATTTATATCGTGCCCCTTACATTTCTCTCATCACTTTCAAGTTCTAGCCCTCATCATGTGTATATACCACGCCTCAGTCCCAATCCGTTACCGTAGCAACCGACTTTCCTGTTACTATATATATATATCAGCCGGGTGACTAAAAATAGATCTGTACATTATTATATCATCATGACTGCTCATCATTATTATCGCATCCACCGAACTCCAAACTAGCTGTATGTTGTACTTAGCGTCATTTGATTCGAACCGAAACTTTTTCAATCCATTTTTTTCTCGTACAAACTCATTCTTCTCTCTTCTGTTCAAATCTCATTCATTCATTCTCAAGAAGACCACTTATAGCCAGCCAACCAACTAACCAGCTAGCCCACCGATACTTCATATAAACAGTCTGTGAGTTTCCTTCCACACCCGGCAACCGAGAGACAGCAAAGAAAGTGACATGACATTATCACAGGTATCGAAAGCAGACAACTCGACATCAGCCGACCTGCAAACACACCATTTGTGCCGTTCGTGTCTGCAGCAAACACGAGACTCTATGGTTTCACTTTCAGATTGTGTGCAAGTGTTTCGTGTGTGTGTGTGTGTGTGTGTGTGTGATGCAAACTGTTGATTTTCACTTTGCGTGCATGTCCCATCATTTCTCTTCCGTGTGTGTGAACATGTCTCTGCGTGTGTGTGTGTGTGTGTGTGCGTGTGATATTCTGCCGGCAAAATGACTTCCATTCCATTCCCATTCCATCTGTGTCTGATTCCCATTCTCCCACGTTCTCACGTTCCCTCTTTTCACCCCCAAAAATTCTCTCACATGTGTGTGCATAGTTACGTATGTAAGCTCAACCACCACAGCTAATACTGTACCACCTTTTTGTTCATCTGTGTGAAGATCAGCCCAGATTTACAATTTATATACAGTCCCTCTCACATGATTTTATAACCGATATCCCACAACGACCGAGTGTGTACGTGTGTGTTAGTGTACTGTGTGTTAGTTTCAGCATAGATGTAGAATTCAGAGCCGTTACAGCTGTTTTCATCAAAAAACCTTTATCCATTCATGTACATATTAGCGTCGTCGTCGTAATAGTTAGACATGTCTTTCAGATTTCACTCAATAATTCTTATCACTTTGTGAGCGTGTATGTACTAATGTTCACAATGTGTGTATATATATATATACAACCACAAGTGGTGCGATCACAAAGTGTGTAAATTCTCCATAATATCAATTGCATGATGCTCAATGGCACCAGCGATATTACGTAGGTATATACAATATAAATTAGGATTCCAAATTACATCATGAGCTTCTCTTGTAGTCGGGAACAAAGATTTTGATTCCGACTTCAGTTCTACGAGGTCGCTGATTAGCCCCGCCCCTTTCATCAAGTAGGTCCGTGGACTTTAATTTTCGTCTAAATAGAGAAAGAAATATCGAAAAATCCGTTATCGTAAAGCAGGATTGGTTTGGATAAGGATAATGGTTTGAAGGTATGCTAAAAAGTGATGCAAAAACCACTATTTACGTAGCACTGAAAATGCAGCCCTTTGGGGTTTGTAATGATCAACAAATTGCAAATTGGCATATTAAACTCATTAGTTGAGCAAGTGGAACCTCTGATAAAGGACCCTCCGAGATAGGGACGACCTCTCTATAAAGGACACTTGTTTCAACCCCATGCTTAACACTTTAGTGTATTATTTGACCTCTGGGATATGTAGGGGATAGTTCACTACGAGGGACAAAATCGTAGGCCCCATAGTGTCCCTAGTTTGGAGGTTCCACTGTATTTTTAAACACAATAACAAAATGTATAATTATAGATCAAGCAGAGCCATGTATAGACCACTGCTCTGTACTGTGAAAGGTAGTCTAGAACAAACAGCCAGTAAACTGCTGCTAAGCCACACTGGTCGCTGTACAAGCCGGAGGGGCTGTACCACATGGGTGGGGGCTGAGACAGTTGGTCTAAGCACAAAGAGGAGGAGGGAGGAAAAGCTATCGGTGAATCTACTAGAGGGAAGGCCTTGCTGTGAAACAAGGAAAAACTTGTCTATTCCCGTTTTTGCCTGCACTGAGGTAATGGACAATCCCATCTGGCAAACTAGGTTAGGCGCATCCAACTACAGTAATACACAATGTATAGTGTCCAGCCAGCATTTTTCATTGCTTTTCCAGCAGCTTAGAAGCTCCCTAGACAATGTATCACTCATCAAGAATGATTAGTCATTGTAGTGAACATAGGAGTCTTGTGGGAGCTGGGAGAGCCTGCTTGTACACTCATGCAGTGTGTGTGCCTTTTGACCTCACAGTAAGTTGGTATATAAGAGGGTGATAAGGGGACAAGAGTGAGAAGGGAGGGGTGTTATGGAAGTGCATTACATAATACAGTGACACCTCTGAATAATAGGGACATTGTGGAAGTATATTCAGATGCCTTACTTGGAGGTAAAAACACTCTTTATTAGTATATATGGGGCAGAAAGTGCGTCTTTTACTGGGGTAAAAAACATATATCCCTTTATATATACCCTCGCAGATAATTCACAGATGAGTCTTTTTTCCACGAGCGATCTACAACAACAATAATATTATAACCATCTAAACTCTCTCTCACAACATAAACATGTTAAACCCTGAAATGAGGACACCTCCGTACTTTATTCTGCCCCATCGGTGCCTCACTTTGCCACGTTTTCTTCATGCGCAGGTTTTTCTAACTTTGCCACGTTTTTTCTGCACATTCGCACGTTTTTCTCCAGATTAAACGGGTCCGATTGTACGTATTTTCCCCCAAGTGATATATAAATCTCACTTTCTTCTCTTTTCCTCCTGAACGGCTGTCAGTATCTCCTTCCCTCTATCGTCGCTCTCGGTCGAGAAATCGTCTGCGTCCTCTGGATCATACTGTAGATTCTAGAGCCACAAACAAACGCTTTCAGTTTTGTTATCAATAGTAGGAATGTGGATGTATACACATAAGGGCTAAATTTGACGGAACCAATAGGGCCCAATGCAGAACGTTCCATTTAGTTTAATTTTTAGTAGCACATGTTCTGTATTGTAGCTGTCACATTCCCTTTAAACGTTGCTCTGGTGTATGGTGCCAGTGTTACGGCTGTTGTTTGAGATAAAGAGGAAGGAGGAAGGGAGAAAGCGGGGGGGGGAGAAGAAAGATAGGCATTGTACCTACACGTACGTACTTTCAGTCCAAGTGTGTCTCCATCACGGAGACAAATCGGCGAGTTTTTGATATTTGCAGCTGTACTTTTAGATTTCTTCTTCTTCCTACTCTCTTTCTGCAAAAAATGCATGATTGTTAGCACCATTCCGACACGAAGATATAGATAAGCTTCATGAAGTACAACATGAAGTATAAATATTTTACAAGTCACACAAATTTTTACGGGACAACCTCTAAAAAGAGGTTTTAGCAGGACACATAATCAGGACATACGTACGTTATAGTTCTCCTGTAATACGATCCACTCGAACGATTCGAGTTTGTGTTTCGCTACCCTCAGATGAGATACGTCGATTTGAACAAGACGAGAGACCAGTTTAACCAGTTCAGCGGGCTTAGTAGAACGGTTGCAATCATATATCACCTGCATACAATACATATACAGTGGGTTAAATGTGAGTGGGCTATAAAGGGTGCAATCATATATCACCTGTATACAATACATAAAGGGGTGGGTTAAAGGGTGCAATATTATATCATGCCAAAGTAGGTGCATATGATGTCTCAATTTCTGTAGTGTGAAGTATTTGTACATAATAATGCATCTTTGAACAGGACTGATTGGTTAATTTTGTCTGAAAATATGCCTATATATATACGTACCTCAGCAGCAGGTCCGTAAGACCTTCTACCAGGTGTTCTGGCTTGAATATGGACTACAATGGCTGTAGCACTGAGGAGGGAGGGAGGGAGAGGAATTGAGAGGTAGAGAGATGATAGGGCGGGGAGAGAGAGAAGATAGAGGAGGCAGAGAAGGAGGGAGAGTTGAGGGGAGGGAGAGAGATGAGAGAAAGAAGGAGGGAGAGAGAGAGGAGAGAAAGAAGGAAACACATAATTATAAGAGTCATAAAGGCTCAAATTGAAAGCGAGGCCCAAAAATCGAAAATGATTTATCAAGCAGTCGGAATACGAATGTCGCACACCCACTCACGGGAGGGTTTCCTCCTGCTCCAGAACGGTGACACAGACGTGTGATCCGGTCTCCATTTTGTTCCTCCTGCAGTCAGTGTATACATATACACACACTGTTACTGACACCATCTACTACCACCAACACATGCACAAAGAAGGGTGGGGCAAAAAAATCTTAAGCCTGTCTACTAACGTAGACGACTGTTGCTTGGAGACACTGCGATATGTACAAATGACTCAAAAATATTTACGAATTTGTCACGGCTAACATTTACAGAGCAAATCTTTCGGATAAAGGCTGAAAATATTATTGGTGCTACAAAATACACCGCTTTCTTATTTTTATTGTATATACGTACCGAAGTGTCTGTTGTGGGTTCTTGAAAACCTTTCCTAATCGTCCGTTCACCATTTCTCTGACGCGGAGGAGGAAGTCGAGTGTAGGGATCACCGCACCACCCAGCTGTGTGCATGACAGCAGCAGAAACGAAAAGTAAGATATTTGTCAGCACATACGTAGGAAAATGTATGTAACGAAGGTGAAAACTAAACAAAGCAATTGGAGGTGGAATAGCAAAACTATCTAGCTGTACCTAAACACTTATTTTTCTTGCAATTTCCTTCTTTACCACCCCTTCCACAAGGGATTTGAACAGTTTTGCATTTGTTGTACGCACATGAGTAAACGAAACGACAAACCAACAATGCCTAACAGTTTGACTATAGTGGAGGTTGGAATAGCGATACTATCTAGCTGTACCTAAACACTAATTTTTCTAGCAATTTCCAACAAGGATTTGAACAGTTTTGCATTTGTTGTACGCACATGAGTAAACGAAACGACAAACCAACAATGCCTAACAGTTTGACTATAGTTGGAGGTTGGAATAGCGATACTATCTAGCTGTACCTAAACACTTATTTTCTTGCAATTTCCTTCTTTACCACCCTTCCGACAAGGGATTTGAACAGTTTTGCATTTGTTGTACGCACATGAGTAAACGAAACGACAAACCAACCATGCCTAATACTTTGACTATAGTTGGAGGGTGGAATAGCGATACTATCTAGCTGTACCTAAACACTTATTTTTCGAGCATTTCCATTAGTGTACATACGTATGCACTTATGCACTTACAGCGGGCAATGTGAGAATTAGGGCCTTTAGTTCCTCGATAGTGGAGTCTCTGTGGATCTCAATACTGTCCAGTCCCACTAGGCAACCGGGCAGTCCCGGATAAAATTGGGCCGGCGACTGCAGGTGAAGTGGCACCTGCACACAGAAAGCAACGGTAATGATTTCGATTTTTCTCTCTATTTATAGAGCACTTCATTCTCAACTTCTCAACTACATAAGCAAGAGAGATTATTACCGTAATGTTTTATATACCTCGTTTGGGTCGACTCTGGGAAAATCACCATCATGGGTAAAACCCTGCTCATTAATATCCACACCAACTGCAAAAAAACACACATTCATGAAAAAGGGTAGTGTGCAGTGGTGCAAATTACTTATCACAATGTGCTTCTTCACTACTAAGTGAAAAAGATTTTAATAATTCCATGGCCTCGTATACCACTTATAAGGAGAGACAATTTCATACCAGTGGCGGAGTCCATGACCCAAGAGAGGAGACCGGAAGTGAGTTCCATTTTTAGTAACATTTCTATATTTAGCCCTATGTACTGCCACTTAAGGAGAGACAATTTCATACCAGTGGCGGAGTCCATGACCCAAGAGAGGAGACCGGAAGTGAGATCTGGGTCAGTGAGGTAGGCAGGGGTACAGGTGGGGTAGGAGGGAGTGAAGAGAGATACAGCCAGTCTTACGAAGTTCTGAAAGGGAGGAGGGAGGAGGGAGGCAGGGAGAAGGGGGAGGAAGAGGATGGGAGTAGAGAGAAAAGTAAGTTTCAGTTTCAGTGATGTGGTTATATATAGCAGGCATCGTGTGTTTATATATAATATAGCAGGCATCGTGTGCTTATATAGAGCAGGCATCGTGTGTTATATATGCGGCATCATGTGTTTATATGCAGATCATGTCTTATATAGAGCAGGCATCATGTGTTTATATAGAGCAGGCATCATGTGTTTATATAGAGCAGGCATCATGTGTTTATATAGAGCAGGCATCATGTGTTTATATAGAGCAGGCATCATGTGGTTGATATAGAGCAGGCATCATGTGGTGATATAGAGCAGGCATCATGTGGTGTATATATAGCAGGCATCGTGTGCTTATATAGAGCAGGCATCATGTGTTTATATATAGCAGGCATCGTGTGCTTATATAGAGCAGGCATCGTGTGCTTATATAGAGCAGGCATCGTGTTCTTATATAGAGCAGGCATCATGTGTTTATATAGAGCAGGCATCGTGTGCTTATATAGAGCAGCACATGTGTTTATATAGAGCAGGCATCGTGTGCTTATATAGAGCAGGCATCGTGTTCTTATAAGTATATAGCAGGCATCATGTGTTTATACATAAGTATATAGCAGGCATCATTCACCTTAGGAGGCAGTTTTCCTTCTTCGATTAGCAGCAAATCGCCAGATTTCAGGTTCTCTTTACTCAATACTGAGGTCTATAGGGGGAGAGAGGGTACATGCATACATACGTGCAACGTGTACATTTATAATGGTTTGTAAGTTAAAACGAACGTTACTATTCCACACTCCAACTATAGTCAAAGTGTTGAGGATGGTTGGTTTGTCTTTTCATATGTTTACGTGCCCACAAGAAATGCAAAATCGTTGACGCTTTTTGGAGAGGGTGAGGGGGGTGGGGTGATGCGACTGCAAAATTGAGGCGAGATTGTAATAGATTGTGTTCTAATCTAGTCAAAGTACAAATGATAGTTTATCATTTACTCATGTACATTCACAAAATGCAAAATCGCTGAAACCATCATGGACACGGATAGTGTGAAGTTGGGAGGATGCAGTTTGAAAATTGCTACGGTTGAGTTAAAATGAATAATACTATTCCATATTCCAACTATAGCTAAACTATTGAGCATAGTTGGTTTGCATTTTATTCAACACACGCACCTGCTAAAAATGCAAAATCGCTGAAACCATCATGGACACGGATAGTGTGAAGTTGGGAGGATGCAGTTTGAAAATTGCTACGGTTGAGTTAAAGTAAAATCGTTAAAACCCTTAGAGGGGGAGGGTGCAGCTATGACACTATTGTCTTGGGGTCACATGCATAGTTGAATACATCAGTAACTGCTACAGATCATCTCATTACCTCATCGTCTAGTACTTCGGTGGCCTCCCCACACCAGTTAGTTCTTCGCAGGTGCCACTGGTTCCCTATTTTATAAAACCACAGTTAATACAATAATAGTTGGCTGGCTGGAGAGTTACGTAAGTTATTTGACGACCAAAATTCAAGACTAATTTTGTTGGAGCATACGTGTAAAAACCCAGATAATTTTTGTCTGCTTCACCAACTTTTTTTTTACCGTATATACAAAAGGACCCTCCAAATACACCTCTCTATAAAGGACGCTTCATTCTGTCCCATAAAATCACTAGTTTTATCATAATTATTATTCCTCTGAATAAAAGACACTTCCGGTTTAACTGTATATTATATACGCACCTTGTAGTCCAGCAGACAGGACCACGAGTTGACAGCACTCAGCCACTGTAGCTCCTTCGTCGACAGTCACCTCCCATTCCTTGGTCCCCGACGACAGCCTGCAGCGGAGTACTAGCTGCGTGTGTAGAGAATATACAGGCTAGGTCATGTGACTCTCACATGACAAACACGTGACGTGCTATCGTTCTGAGTAAAGAGTTTGCAAGTAACAACTAGCGTAACGTACATACCTGGGAGGGTGTTGGCGGTGGTCCAGGTTCCAGGATGATGCAATGTCCCTGGACCACGCCCACCTGGTCCAGAGTCTGTTCCTCGTGCAGTGGAGGTCCCGGACACTCATCGTCCAGTCTGAGTCGACCGCCTCCTAGGAGCGTGGCCGAAGAGATGAGGAGAGAGGGCGAGAGGGAGGGAGAGGAGAGAGGGAGAGGAGAGAGGGAGGGGAGAGAGGGAGAGGAGAGAGAGGGAGAGAGGGAGAGGAGAGAGGGAGAGAGGGAAGGAGTGAAGGGAGGGGAGAGAAAGAGACAGAGAAGCTTTAGGGTAGTGTATTAGGATTGCAAGGATATGTCGATACGTTACGTTGAAGTACAGGTGATCATTTTGTCGTCTTTAAAACTGAACTCCAATTGCTCGGTTGCAAACTCAACCCTATTCAGCACACTCCCACACACTAAATAACCATCCACATACTGAGGTTCCGTTGCCATAGGATACATAGATGATGCCTACGAAATGTGTACATAAGTGTATTGCGTATGTATGTGTGCATTGTTCAGTGGTAACAGAGTCAGTACATGTGCAACACAGCTTGAGAAAGAATCCCATTTTTCGCCTTTAAGAATACATACGCCTTCTCCCCATATAGCCACCTTCAGCCATGGTTTCTATGGGTACTCTAACATAGTCAATATAACACAGTCACTTACAGGAATGCACCATTGAGTGCCGCATGGTACGGTGCCTCCTTGACGTGTCTCCATTAAATAGTGCTGCTGTGGCTGATCAACTCGATACATAGCTTAGCCCATGGCTAGTAGCTATATGGATCGGCGTGACTCATATATACGCCCAACCGCTGAGCATTCTAGAGTTCCAGCTCATTTCATTAGTCAATCAGATTTGAGAAAAGTCGTGGAAATGGTAAGAGAATAGATTCAACAACAGATCGAGGAGCAGGTAGAAAAGTGGAGTTGTTGATGTGTGTGGTACTAGCTGGCGGTAGGTTGGTATACTTTGCGGCGCGATGGTACAGAAGGGGCAGTTACTGTTATCCTGTCCCCTGGTACACGCAGTACTCCTGCTGCAGCTACTTCTGCCAGAGAGCGCCCTGGGCTTGCAAGGTTAGTGAAACACCAGATACGTCTCCTCAAATTATACACATAAACTGAGATCTATACGAGCCACAAAGGCCAGCATAATGCATATGTGCTCACGATATGCCATGAGTGCATCGTCTTAGCATTGCATGAATAATGGCTTGTCGTAGAAAAAAAAGAGAGGATTACTTGTCCACATGAATATACGAAGTACACTATCTGTGCAAGTCACCAGATGCTTGTTTTCTCTCTCTATATGTATCTCCACTCTGGAATGCTTTCACTCGCTTCTCTCTCTCTCTCACTCACTCTATGTGTGATCCGATTTTGAAGCACAGGGAGCTGGCGCCCGGATGCACACTCAATCAACTGAATGACGACGGGAGTCGACCCCAATATCCTCCTTCATCCAGGCAGTATGCAGCATGGAGCCCTGCACTATTGGTACCAGTGGCACATGTGGCTCTGAAGACACTACTACGTGCTGTTGTAGAGCACAAGAAGTCAAGGATTTAGATATGTCGAGTGTTCTAATCCAAGCCCACTTCTTGATCCTCTCGCCAGGAGAAACGAGACCCAATGCAGCTGCTCCCCCTGTGATGATGTCGTTATCAAGATGCGACTTAGGGTCAAAGGTCAAGGTAGCCTCGGGCCCATTGCAGCTGCCCAGATATTCGATATGGACACAGCTGATAGAAGTACGTGGGTTGACCCCGGACAACGGAGAGTCAGTGTGGATTCGAGGTGAAGTACGCCAAGAAAAGGCTTCAACTTCTCGTTCAGGCTACCGCTACCAGCGAGTCACACGCAGCATTCCTCTGTCTCCGCGGAAACCGACGGTCGCTGTAAACATCACCATGATGACGCTTACGGTGACAAACATCGGTCTCGCAGGAACTCTGAAATCGTGATACCACGTATGCGAGAGAGCGAGCATGGCTCTACGCCACAGTGCCTGGAAGGCTGCCATATAAACGGGAGCACCCATGAGCACGACGTAATCCTCAAAGGTTCCTATGTCGACTCTGGCAGCCCGGGAGTACTTGAAACAATCGAGAGCAAAAATTTCGAAGTCGACGGAACCCTTTTTGGAATGGTGGCAGCCATGTTCTTGGAATTCGAAAACGGCGAAGGTGAGACGCTGGACGCAAAGGATCTTCGTCTGGTTGTTCCGATCGGTGAGGAGGAAGATTTAGCCGACATGTTTGTTGTGGCTTACAACTGGGAAACGGGCGGTTGGACGAAAACGTCAGCATTTTCGCCGGTCAAGACCAAACGAGGAAAGAGGTTTACGTCACCGAGGGTGGTTGTCGAGGCACCTGATATCACCACGCAGGAACTCATGCTGATTGCGGTCTCCGTGGACGCAGACTGTTGGGCCCAGGTGAGGACTTTTGACAACGGAAGAAATCCGTTCCCCGGACCACTCGTCACCCTGGAACAGCAACGCATGGTATCGGGAAGGGGCGTCTTGTACCGGTTCGGAACCGACACGGGAGGGGCCCAGACCAGCGAGGAGTCCCTGGCCTCAAATGCGGTCTGTCTTCCCCTGGACTGCAACTTCTTCGACGAAGCGTCCCTCACCGCTAGAGTGGAACCAGACACAGACCTAGTTCCGATCGATTTTCCCCCGAGAACTTTCGCCATCGGAACGTCCGCCAGAGCCTGTCTTACGTCAGATGTGCTTTCGTCTTCATCACTCGCCATTGACCCTGCGGACATGATGGGTACACTTAGCCCGACTTACGTCTTTCGACAGCACTGCGTGGTGCAGGCCCAGGAGCCTAATGGCGTCGCAGATTCTCGCGATTTCTTTGCCTTTGCTACCGACTACACCCCCCTCGTGCCGAGTCAAGACCAGTGCTACATCAAGATAACTGCCTTCAACTGTTTCTTCAGAGCAAACATCCCGACCGTGATAACACGTGACGCTCAGACTGGAAACGTTACAAGTGCACAGACATTCAGTTCCTAGGTGGGGTGCCTGGGGTTAGCTCTGGATTTCCGGGAGAATGCCTAGAATACAGCACCAGATGCGTTTCCACCTGCGCCGAACCGCAGCCGATCTGTCTACCGTTTCGCTGCGGAGACATTGTTCAGATTACGGTCACCTCGAACCTGACAACTAGCGGAGCGACCAATGAGTGCTCGCTGAGTACAGTGTCACCAGTTCTGGAAGACACTATCCTGGCATTTCGCGGGGACACGCCCGACGACACACTGACACTGGACACATCCGTTCTCGATCCAGGTTCCTTTAACGATCCGGAACTCGGGCTGTACTTTGACCCCCAACCAACGAGGGCACAGCAGCTATGTAACGGAGGTGGAGATGTTGGCGATTACACCAGACCAGGAGGTAGCGCGGCGGAGTTTGGGTGTTCTACGGAATCAGTTCCATAGCTTCGAACTCAAAAACTAAATACCTTAGCTCATCATCATGCACTATTATTATATTATAGTCGTAGATCTCCTATTAATAATTATGATATATATCACCTTGTCAAGAATAGTTGCATCCCTTCTATATACACCATGGATGTCTCCCCAAAAAACCGTGCATAAAGTCCTGAAATCTCTACAGTTAATCGGGACACCAATGAAAGTGTCACTATTAGTGAGGTGCTCTCATTTGTGGGTCACATTGCACGCAATTACTGTTCTTTTGGAAGCAAATATGTCCTTTTTAATGAGGTTTCGTATTTCAGGGGTGTCCTTAGAGCTGAGTAATGCAAGTGGAAAATATGTGTTACTTTACAGAAATTTTTATCTTTGCTTAAGTTACAGTGTATTATGTACCTTCAATGTTGGAGAGTTGAAGTTGTAACAAGATGGCTGATTTGAAAGTAGAGATCAGAGAGTCTCTTACTACTTCCATAGCATGGACTGGATAACTGGTTGAGTCTGACAGATGAGGCTGAAGGAAGGGAGAGAGGGAGAGAGAGGGGAAGAGAGATGGGGAAAAGGAGTTGAAGAAGATAGGATGGAAGGGAGAGAGGGAGAGGGAAGAAGAGAAGTGGAGGAAGGGAGAAAGGAAGGGAGGGAGGAAGGGAGGGAGGGAGAAGGAAGAAGAGAAGTAGAGGAAGGAAGGAAGGGAGGGAGGGAGAGGGGAGGAGACAGGAAGTGGAGGAGGAGTAACAAAAATGAGGCGTAAGAAACTTGTGAGGGATTAAAAAGTCCAAGACTAGCCTAAGACCCTCACTCTCTCTCTTTCTCTGGCCCACGCAGGTGTGAGCGCACGCGGCTCACGGCCCTACTGTGCGCATCCGAGCATGCACCGATTGGAGAGAGGGTCTGTTGGTTAAACTAAGAGTTTTCACGAGTAAGAAACAAAAGTATAGAAGAGGACAATGGGACCGAGGTATGTACTAAACGTACCGAGCACCGGTCTTCGACTATTACTGACAGAAGATTGTTTTGCCTGTCGGCCACCGAATGAGCCAATGTCTTTATTCTGCAAACGAGAGAGAGAATCATTCAACGTATGTTTCATCTTTTCTCACACCCTTTCTTAGTCGAGGCCTCAGCAGCTAGCTTGTCTCCGTCGCATAACTTTAGCTGCTCCAGTGTCAGCTTATCCTTTTAGGAGAGGGAGAGAGGGAGAAGGAGAGGGGAGAGAGGGAGAAGGAGAGGGGAGAGAGGGAGAAGCAGAGGGGAGAGGGAGAAGGAGAAGGAGAAGGGAAAGAAGGAGAAGGAGAGGGGAGAGAGGGAGAAGGAGAGGGGAGAGAGGGAGAAGGAGAAGGAGGATAAGTTTCGTGATCCGTACATACAATTTAGAGGAAAACGATTGAGGGATAAAATTTTGAAATTTTGCAAATCTCGCCATTTCAGAACCAACTGTTGCGTGAAAACTATTGACATTTTCTCCCTCCTCCCCAATAGTGAGTGTATACCTTACTACAGTGGAGAACAACAACGCGCGAAGCCTTGCTCCGCTCGGACACCTTGACTTGACTGATCATAACCTGCTGAACCGGTACGTCCAGTTTAGAGGCCAGCAAAACCTGTAATTCATCAACCACATAGAATACAGATAAAGCAGCTTAGAGGTGTACATATATAGCTGGTACGTAGCGAGTCACTAATGTATAGCCATTCCTTAGTCCTCCTTTTTTCTCGTTCTGTTTTTTTTCCAGCAGGCATGAACTATCTCATAGTGGTGTTTTTACTCATTCAGTACACGTCTTCCGTACTCTCAGCTCTCCAAGCGTTGAATCTTTTGGTCTCCCAATCTCCATCTCCTCCTCCTCCCCCTCCTCCACACCCCCACTCTCCTCACAGGAATGGTACGTCACTCTCAGCAGAACAGGCTCGCACGCTGTCCCAGTCCGGATCCCCACTCCCCCAACTTGTTCTCCGTCCCAGACAAACAGGTTTGACCCGTCCAGAACCTGTAGGTCTCGTAGAGTCTTGTGCTTTGACCAGGAGATGTTGTCGTAAATGTGCATTCCAGCTGGTAGTCTCCTAGCAACGCTGATCACATGACCTCTCACCTGATCCGGGATCACCTAGAGACAGACGGACAGACAGACAGCAATGCATGTGTAATACGTATGTACGTATTTGAAGGACAACAAATTATTCTCCTACGTTACATGTACGTATGTACGTATGTATCAGTAGATGTAGATATCAACAGTCAAACCTCTTCCAGTGTGGTCTCGAGATCAGATACTGTTTTTCTGCGGTCGATGCTCACCGCGGTTACCATGGCATCCGTCACTAGGGGATCCTGTATGATCAATCATGGCATGCTGCATTTGATGTAATAAAAAATGCACCCTTAATCAACATAACCTCTTCTATTTAAGCAAAATTTGTGCTAGTGTTTCTATCTTTTATGCTGCAACCACAAAAATTATAGCAAAAGGAAAAATTTGGAACGCATCACAAATTTGATGATGTCATCCTTGCCAAAAAAGTGTACCCTTACTCCACAAAACCTCTCCTATTTGCCAAATTTGTGCTGGTGTTCCTATCTTAAAACCCTCGGCGCGCATGCGCAGCGAGGGTTACTGTAGTCGTCGTTCTGTGTGTCTCTGTCTGTCTGTCTACGACCATTCTCGCACTACAGGCAACGAGGCGGCTCATGAGCGATACCAACAGCTTTAGCGGTACAGGGGCTATTAAAAAAATGGCGATTTTGCTGAAACGACTGCGTTCGAGAGCGACAAACTGGCACGGTCGCGGACAGCGTTGCGTGGCCCAACCCATCAATAAGCGGTGCGCATGCGTGTATTAGACGTGGCTCACCTCGACCTGATACGCTTGATCTGCGTACCTTGGAGGCGCAAGACGTCACAACGAAGGGTGTGTATCGACTCCCGCATGCTATCTACTACCGTAGCTAGCCCGTGTCAGACTCCGCGAGCTACTAGCGCGAGTATATAAACGGGCCCAGCCCATCCATTAGCGGTATCGCGCATGCGCAGTTCGCCGAGGGTTTGCACTTTAGTGCTTTTGCTGCAAAATTGTGGCTGAAGGTGTGAACGCTTCACAAATTTGATGATGTCATCCTTGTCAAAAAATGCCCCTTACTCCACAAAAACTTCTCCTATTTGGCAGATTTGTGCTGGTGTTCCTATCTTTTATGCTGCAAAAATCGCAAAAATCGTAGCGGAAGGGAAAAAATTTGGAACGCTTCACGAATTTGCGTGTCATCCTTGCGCAGGGGCCATGCTAATCTTCTCTGTATCGTTCCAATTTTAGTATATGTAGGGCCGAAGCCACTACACCAGACTGTGGACTGGCCGGCTATTTGTGGAGTAGAAACAATTGCACGCTAACGGTTGTGGTTTGCGACAGCATTGGGCGTATATTCACGCCCGCACACTACACACACTAGGCCAAAATTCCTGTGGTTTGTTGCAATGAATATGATTAGCTTTAGCATCAATAAGCAGGATAAATGGACGAAGAGTTAATAATACTGCCACGCATTTTTGGCAAGTGCCAGCCAGCATGTACTTGGAATGGCATTACGTTATATGTGCAGTGCCCACATAATACTGTAAACCCAGTAATGTTGGCACCCAAAATAATTAGCGTTTTTGATAGAACTCACGTATTAGCGGCTTATAAATTCAGCGAAATTTTGACAGCCAGTTACAACACATGAGCTTTAGGCATCCTATTATTTTAGCGTTTAGGATGGGAAACGCTAATTTCGCTAAATTTTATGGCGCGCTAAAATCCCACATTCAGATGACTAGGTAGGCTTGCTTCGCTTGCCCAATAATAAGCAGGAGAGAGATGGAAATTTATGGGCAGTTGCACACCTCTTTATGGTGTAGAGCTCCATTTCTGAAAGTATAGGAAGACGATAGATGGACGTTCAGTTCAATTGTGTTCACTGCAATGTCGTATGCAGCCCTGTTGAGGAAGAGAGGAGAGGGTTAAATCAGAAATTCGGGGTTAAAGATGCAATACGTACTTTTCTTCCTCTAATTTTTCATTCTCGCCAGCAATCTTACTCTGCAGCCACTCAGGAACAGAACCTACAACGTCTCTCCCTTCTCCTGCAGCGGTATTACGTAACATTGAGTCACAACAGAGGACCCTCCAAATAAAGAACACCCGTGCGTGGGCGGCTATTTCCTCGGTGGGCCACAAGTCCTACTCCTGCCTTCACTTTCATTGCGCTTCTACAAAGGACACTGGTTCTGCCTCATTGTATATTACTTCCGAACGCCTCAAAATGGAGGTTGGTTTTGATGGTCCAAGCGTTTTGGACAAACCTTGTGTTGGCAGCTGGCTTCTCTTCCTCCTATAGAAGAGCATGTAGGCGCTCTCCTTACCCTGGTACACCTTTTCCAGGGATCGCACGACGGCTGGCGACACCTGGACGTCGTTGAAATGGAACCATCTTTCCCCCGGAGGAGGAGGTCTGGACGGAGAGAGGGAGGGGGGAAGGGAGGCTAAAAGGGGTTAATTAATGGGAATATGTTAGGGGTTAAATGGGAATTGTGTTTGGGGTACAAAGGGGGAGACGTAATACTTGGTGGTTCGTTTAACCTTCGCATGAATTGCTAGTGTATGCTTCCAACGGATGCCTATACTCTTGCACAATGACCGTATATACACGTATCTCGTTCACGGATGATTTGGTTTAGTGTGCCATGCACGCCAAGTCGCCAACCAATTACGTCACTTTTTTAGTACGTTCTTTGCCACGAAAGAGTTTTGCTGTGTGGCACCCTATGCTGATGATGGTGATAAAACTCACTCTTTACTGTCACCTTTCCACTTTGACGTCATCGGCTTGGACTTTGACCCCTCTGTCTCCATAGCAACAACGAAATCCTTACTGACCACACCAACGTCACGTGACTGATCACCTGACCTACCACCAGAGTCACGTGACGAACTAGGCACCTGTTCCTGGGCCTCGATGCGTGATAATCCGTGACCCTCAGATGCAGTAGACTCCATACTAACATCTGTCGATAGATCTTCAACGGTACCAGACGCAGTTGCTGTTTCTTTGTCTCCATGTGGAGCGACGTCTTGTCTGGGGTCTTGGCAAAAGGTGTTGGCAGGAGGAGCAGGTGAGGAGTCTGCGACCTAATGGGAGCCAGGGAAGGAGGAGGAGGAGGAGGAGAATAAAGAAGGGAGAGGGAAGGAGGAGGCGGAAGGAGAGAGGAGAATGAGGAGAATGAGGAAGGAGAGATGAGGAGGAGGAGGCGATTGAGGAAGGAGAGAGGAGGAGGAGAATGAGGCAGAATAATATCCCAATCTGGAAAGTTTTCTAAATCTAGAAACTGAAATGAACCACTCTCTTAGCGATGTTCCACATGCGCATTGTCCAGTGAAACAGCATCGAAAGCATGACTATAAATATCAGAAAATTGTGCTATTACGACAACTACATAGCTACATATTCCTCCTCCAGTTACTACACACACTCACTGGTTCAGCAGTCTCCATTGGTTCAACTCTGACATCACCCGCTAAACACAAATTGATCAAAAATGTTGTTATCAATTGTAATCGTTACTAACCAGGTGCTGTGGTTTCCATGGGACTAGGGGGCGTGTCTGTGGGCGTGGTCATCTTGAGAGACACTCGCTTCGTGTCGTCGACGACAAAGAAATCGGGACAACTCCGTAGAAACTGGTGAATGGAGCCAAACTGTTTCTTGAACCTCTTGTTCCACGTCACGCCAGTCTTCTCCTGCATATTCTACATACACAAACAACAAACAGATACAAAACTGGGTTGGTAACAATAGAACGGTGTATAATATATGCAATGTGCACTTACATAGGCTGAGGATAGCTACAAAGGTCTAAATTAGACTGTGCAGCACATCATTCACAGTAACAACTATTCTTTAATTGGCCTACGTACGTAAGTTCTGGTTGTTACTTCATATAAGAATCACGAAATATGCTAAGTCAGCATCAATACTATTAATTTAACTACTGTTCCACTGTCCCTATATAGTCTCACAGGTCTCTAGTGGTGTCCCACAAGTCTCTCAGGTCTCGTTCTCCAGAAGACTACATTTACACAGCTATGCACAGTCTTGATTGTGAAAACATACGTACCTTACACAACTTGTCCACAGAGACTGAGCCACCCAAACTCCTCAGCAAGGTCACCAGCAGCTCTGTGGGAGTGTCGAACTCTATGTAGTCGACTCTCCCAGTCTTTTCATCAGTGGGCAGCTGTACCGGGTCCTCGTCCTGGGGGAGTGGCCATTACATCATCATTACATCATAGGTAATGACATCACCAAGCTTCACATGTACAATGTTTATACCGAATCTACAAGTTCATGTACTTAGGCGTGTTCAGCTGTAAGAAAATTGTTAGTTTTACAAGTCGGCTTGTAAAAATGATGTAATACATGAAGTTGTAAAATGACATCATCGTTAGTGATGTAATCTCCCCTCACTAACTGGGTGTGTCCATGAGCCCAAGTTGTCGAAGTCTCTAATGTAGGCAGTATAGTGGCCAGAGTGGGTACTGCCACCGTGTATGACAACAGAATAGAGCTCGTACGATATCTTCTCTCCCCCTCCTCTTTCACCCTCTTCTCCCGTTTTGTTGCCATGACTACAGCAGCCGTAAGGTGTCATGTCCAGTTCCAGTGGAAATTTAAATTGACTCGTATCCTGCAATTATTGCAAAGACGAAACTTCGTAACACTGCAACCAATAGTACCTTCATGATTACTGTAACTCACTTTGTATCTCTCTCCCCTCTTGAAATCGTACAGGAAACGCAAGAGTGCAAAGGTCAGTACTGGGGGAAGTTTCCTCAGACGACATTCCTGAGTAAGTCACATGATTTCAAGACTAGTCACCTGACTTTCACATGACTCATACATGCGTATAGCACAGAAATACTCCTCTATCAAGGACAGACTTAATGTAAATGCTATCTGGGCTATCACTCATAAATTCTGGCTACAATAGCACATGATAGTAATGTGATAGTCATGTGACTCACTCGTCTAGCGTCTACCAGACGGTCACACAGACCACAGTGGTATCTATTGTCTCCTTCCAACAGCTCCGTTTCGTTGAACATCTCCCTCAGAGCCTGTTGGAGACCGGCTCGACCTGTCAGTGCCACCGGTATATCCAGAAACTCCTCTTCTCGCTCGCTGACATGGCCACAAGACTGACACACAATCTGAGGCAAACAAGTCAGAAAGCATACTATTTACATCACCACAATGCATGGTCCTACATACCTATATACATGTATTAATTTATCAGGAGAAGATGATGACGAACAAAACTCCCTATCATAGCCCCATACATCTATAATGCTAGGTATATACCGTGCCCATCCCTATTACTAAGTACTACCGTCTACCATACTTAGTGATCACTATCAACACCATTTTAGGTAAGGGGTTTATTAGACCTGTTGAGTGAAGGTCCCGCGGTAGAGTCGACCAATCAGATGCTCTCCTCTGGTTCCTACTAGCGACGACTCAATGGCAGCAAACAGAATCCTGTTCAGTTCCTGGACGTCATGTTGCTGCAACTCCTGAAGCAGTCAATAATTCACAAAATGTACCGTTACAGTGGTAATATTTAGAGTTTGTTTGAGTTCTAATTTTGCAAGATATCGTTTTACCAGAGGAACACAAAACGTATAATTATAAATGTGTCACAGCGGGAAACATAATTATTATAGGGAGAAAAACTATTAAAAGCGAAATGCCCTGCTTGCGAATTTTAATTTCAAGAGGTACAGCATTCAAAAGTCAATATTCACAATTGTGTCTGGGGAGCTGCAGGGTGTCGCTGGTGGAAGGGGTGAGTTGAGGTGTCTGGGAGGTGAGACAGACACCTCATGTTCATATGGTGTATGTTCGTTTGTTAACGGTTCCGCCCATTGCTCTGGGTGCGTGGTCTATGGCCCTAGTGCTATGGCAGCCACCTGAGTATCATTACATCACAAACGAAAACGCTCCAGAAGATGCTGTAAACCATGGTACAGTGGAGCCCCTCTAATCTGGACACCTATGGGGGCGAAAGAAGTTGTTCTGACTTTGACTCTGCAGGTGTCCTCAGAGAGGAGCTCCACTGTTAATAATACATAATTCACAAATTGTGCTATAGTGGTAAGTGTATGTATATCATACCTCATTGTTGGTCCACCCAAAACTGCTGATGAGCCCATCCACCCCACAGCTCTGCTGATTCAGCAGCAAAAGTCGAGCAAAGAGGATCTGCAGTTGAACTGGAATCACACGCACCTGCAAAGACACACACACACACATGGTAGTGGACCCCTCACTAGTTAATAGCAGTTATCCAACAAAGACTATGTGTATAATATATAAATTTAGTGAACTGGCTGAGATAAAAAATACTTATGCTAATACATTTATAGCTGTGCAATATGCTATATACTACACATACAGTAGCTACGTAAATGCCATCTCATTTAAACACGTATTGAGATATCGAGCTCCAATATATACACTAGTATCATGCACAGGCAATAATAGACCTGAGAATTGTCTGCTCTTTCGTCTTCACTGTGCTCTCCTAACTCTTCCACTCCAATTTGAAACAGAGACTCTGAAACAATTCACACATAAATGCCTAATCATTAAGGGTTTGCACTTCGGTGCTGTTTATTAGCAATGAAACTGGAAGTCAAAAAAGACTTTCTCAAATGCAATGCTGGAAAAGCTACGTCATTCAAGTGATATAGGCACACAAAACGATATGCCCAGTAGCTGCAATTCTCGTCAATTCATTTACACTTGACAGACGACAACAACGAAAATCAACGGACGAAAATCGCACTACTAGGCCGGCCACCGTATGCGCGTATACCTCTGAACTCTGGCGTGAAGTGGAGGGTCTGCAAGAGGGAGTTGAGGTAGCAAGTGGCTCCCAAGTTGCTCAGCCCGCTCAGACGAGTCTTGTTGCGAGGTGCCGGGGGAGCCTTGAGGTTTCCCCGCGAGTTTCCCGCGCCCTGGTCCCCACGTGATCCGCCCAGGTCCTCGTCTTCTTCTCCAAAGAGACACCCGAGCATTTTATACTGACAGCCACAGGGAAGCTTTTGCAACGTCAGCATAAAATGCTTCGGCTCTGCACATGCGCAATCGATAGAATGCGCGTGTTCTGTTGTTGTTCACAAACCTCGCGCACAACAGACCCGCTTGTTGGTGATTTATCATAATATCAACGTTCGTGGCCAACTTAGGCCGTGGAAGAGAACACCAAGATCTTTGTTCAATATTTGGAAGACATGCTATTGGGACGCGACGCGCGACTCGGACGGACGCGCGACGCGGACGCGTTGTTACAACTACGACGCATAATTATAGAAATCATGAACACATTTTGCGATATGAGTGTAAACGAAAGGTCCTAAAAAGTTTTGTATTCGGAGAATTCCCAAAGTTACTGCTAGTCAACTTCGGAGCGAAATGTCGCGTTCGGTCGAGAACATCGGGAGCCCGGAGGAACTGCAGTACACTCTGGGGAAGACGTTGGGCTCCGGTACATATGCGAAGGTACGGGCAGCCTGGAGTCCACGAGAAAATAAAATGGTGAGCTCGGTAGGCACCGCAACAAACTAGCCCCTCCCACTTTTAGCGTAAATGCACCTGTAAAAGTTTTGATGTGCTTTTTCTTCGCTGCTGCAGATCGCTATCAAGATTATCCAAAAGGGCGGTGCGACGAAAGAATTCCTGGATAAGTTTCTGCCGCGCGAGATACGCGCCTTGCAGCGCCTCCACCATCCGAACATTCTTACCCTCTACCGCCTAGTGGAGACCCCACGACAGGTCTATATATAGCTACACGTAACGTGTCTTATAACACAATTGATTTTTAGGCAGCTATATATAATACAGACGCAACCAAAATCGGTTCTTATTGTATAGATATAGTCTCTCCACACATGTGCTAATAAATACTACATGTTGTCGAGTCTTATCATCGTACACAGGTGTACTTCATGTGGAGATGGCACACAATGGTGATCTCCTGGACTACATCAATACCAGCAGGGGCTTACCCGAGCAGCAAGCCCGGTTTGTGATAAGAGGCATATCATCGGGCATCGCTTACTGCCACGCCAAGGGGATCGTGCACCGAGACCTAAAGTGTGAGAACATCATGCTCACCAAAGACATGGACATCAAAATTGGAGGCAAGAGTTACACATATTCTTTACTTCAGTCCTAACGATAGCACAAACCTTGAATCTCGATGGCAAATGGCTACATTTTGTAAAAAGAACTTAGCCTTATAGGTTGAGTAAAACTATCCAGCTTGACATGGAAAGACTATTGAGAATGTTGCAATAATAATTCTTCGAGTTGTATCCATAATGTTTCATTTGGTGTCCTTACAGATTTTGGTTTTGCTCGAGAAGTGGATGACAGAGGGGCTGGAGTTTCCACTCCTTGTGGCTCCTTCTCATATGCAGCTCCCGAGCTCTTCTCCAACCGACTGGGAGCAACTTACGATGCAAAGAAGGCTGACGTTTGGAGCATGTGAGGGGGTAAATAATAGGGTAAAAGCTACACTGATATTTTTTTTGCTTTTGCTTCTCTTTAGGGGTGTTATCCTGTATGCTATGGTGTGTGGAAGACTGCCATTTGGAGATGACAGCCAAGTGGCAAATAATGTGACTAAACCACTGAGCTTTCCAGTACCACTGACAGAAGGTAGCTAGCGATTTTACCCTCGCAGTGTCGACAGCGTGATGATTTTTTTAATGCAGATTGCAAGAACATCATCAAGTTTCGCATGCTTACAACGGACGTTGAGGCCCGCTGCAGCGTGGCCCAGCTTCGACTCTGCCACTGGACGCGCGGGCCGACGTCATCTCTAACGCCCTATCGAAAGATCGTCTACACTGAAGAAAACTGCCTACAACAACTCTTCCATCCTGAAAATACACACACTGCTCCCTATGCTAATTTTCCATCCGAGTCTACAGAGTCGAAAAAGAAGAGTCCACGGCGAATCTCACACGCCCGGTTTTCTTCCGCGGCGGACGGTCGTGGAACCGCTTGCGCGGAGACTACTGTGCACACCGTTAGAACCGCGAATATCGCTCCGGCGTCGATTGAGGTCCACAGACGGAAACAATCGGCCGTGGAGCGCCTGGAGCAGAGACGGCGAGTACTGAACGACCCCATCAATACTGCTGTCTTGGATTCCGTCACACCGCCTCCCCGCGGCTCGCAGCAGCCCGCGGCGGCGACCGGCATGAAGGCAAAGATCAGTTCGGCGGGGAAAAAGATGTTCCAGACTTTTGTTCACCATTCTTCCTCTCCATCTGATTGAAAATGATTTCTAAATTCTATATATACCATGCGCATAAGTTATGAAATTAAGTATATACTTCACGTCTCGTGGACAAATCGACTTTTCTCTTCGTAAAAAGACCCCGTCATCGCGCTTGCGAAGGTCGCCATGCGCATGCGCTGCATATGCACATGCGCAAAAACAGAGCGCACGTGCAAATTCTAATGACGTCATAAATACATCACCCCAGTGTTTACGCGCGATCACTGCCGCAAGTGTAGGGAATTCCCCTGCACGGGAAGCCGGTTATTCCCCCTTCAGCTCGGCTGCGATAACTGGCAGAGTTTGTCACGTTCTCCGGCTTTCTCCAGGCTGGCTGGGGTCAAGAGACGACGCAGATCCACAGCCCCGTACACACGATGGCCTACGACCTCAAATACGACAAGCTCCTGAGAGCCATCGAGTGCGGCCACCAGAACGACGCCGTCTCTTTCTTCGAGCGGCGGCTCTTCGACGTGAACGAGAGCATCCGCTACCTCTTCGAGGACGGGAAGCGATTCACGGTCACCCCGCTCTACTGGGCCGTCCGCCACAACTGCCCAAAGCTCTGCAGATTCCTCCTGAGGAACGGAGCCCGTCCCTACGGCACTATGGTCTACGAATATTATCCTCTCCACGAGGCTTGCAACCGAGGCTACGACGGGGTCGTGCAAGAGTTCGTAAACGCTCGCTGCGAGCTGGACAAAGTGAACCACGACGCGGACACCCCTCTCCACGTCGCGTGCATGAGGGGACACATACAGTGCGTTCACATCCTCCTGCGTGCCGGGTCCGATTGCAACCTGCGCAACAAGCTGGGCCATACACCGCTTCAGTGCGCCGTGTATCACGACCGCAACGACCTGGTCGAGCTATTCAAGGCCCACAACAAAGGTATGTGCACATAAATCCATCCCCGTGGAGAATATCATGCATGGTAGTCGTAATAGTGATTTACGTTTCAGACTTGGCAAGCAAGGGTGAGAGTTTTGGGTGGGTCTTACCCATCCCATTCGGTTCAGTGGCTACAACTTTCTCTGAAAAAGACTGCGCATGTCCCTTTTCTCGCGAAGAGTTTGCCTTTCTTTTGTCCAGCCTCAATGCACCCGACCTGCATTCTATTGTACTAGTAGTGGGAATCTCGATCTTGGCATAAATGCTTGGATGATGGTATACACACACGATGTCCTTGATGTCCTTGTCTGCCCTGTCTGCCCCGACAGAAAGGCATGCAGAATTGAGTCACAGTTCAAAAGGTGAGGAGGATTTGTCACAAGGAAACCTGCTCTCATAGTAAACAGGCATCCCCTCTGTGAATCTCTTCCTTAGTCCAAATGGTGACATTTCCCTTCGTACCAACTCAATTTCCTGCATTTCGTAATGCTGTCGCCTCATGGTGTTTCTCTGCATGGTGTGATACTGATATAGTACTACTTTAACACACACACACACATAATAAATACTAACGTAGCAGCCGGGATTTTAAAACAGAACCTTGGCTGGAAATTTGCACCAAACCGACTATGTCACAATAGGCAGGGGGAGGGGTTGTTCGTCAAAGCAACTGAGCATGCGCAAGCTCCCATTTTGTGCGCGTGGCTCTCCCGCCAGCAACTGAGCAGCTTTCTTCCCACCCCTAATAACCCACCCGTTAATGGCGTGTGAAACCTCACTTCTCGTGTCTCCTTTCCACTTCTACTTCCCTGTCATTGGGGGGACATTTGTTCAACAGATTCATAGTCCGCCACTTTCAATAGACCTTTCGGGAACTCTCTTCACTTTCTACAGCAAAATTCTCTGCAATTAAACTCCCAGGTTTCTCCAGCTTATAGAGATTCCTCATAATAATATATCGTAGTAGTAAGTTGACTTGCTTTTCAATAGATCTCTGGAACCTTTTTCGCTGTTTTGCGAGGTGCATCCATAACCCCTTCTTTGGGGCAACTCATAAAGGTGTTCATGGTGAGATATGTTTTCTTTGGCCGTGGAACAAGTGGCATCTGATGTGCCAATATGTCATTCTAATATCGCATCCTCCACACTATGTTAATAAACAGAGTAGCTCCATAATAGGACATGGATAGTATGTACATTGATACGGTTAACAACTCATTACAAGCCGTTCTTGAGACCCAAGACCTCAATAGAGCCAACTTGTAGGTGGATACATAATTTGCAGTTAACAACCTTGATCCAAAAGAGTGCGGATGTAAAGCAACATAGTATAGTTTCTTCTTTCAATGTACCGCACTGACTGCAGCTAGAGCGCTGAAACCAGTCATGAATGGTAGAAGAAAGAGTGGCATCACTACTATGCATCAAGTTTAATAATGCTGGCTCACTCAACACCAGTAAAACCCAGGGGTGCCACTTGTTGTCTTGCAGGCAGGCGCCCGCTGCCCCAACTGTGTTGAGAAAATCATTACGTCATGTTTGACCACTTAAACACTCAAAACAGCTGCGAAAAATTCCCTCTTCCGCTCACCCAGTCAGCTCACCCAGTCAGCTCACAGCCAGTGTAAAATCCCCTGGTCCATTGTTAGAGTGACAGATTACCTAAGAACACACTGCCTGCACTGAACAGGTTTGCACTGGTATAATGACCTCTGTGAACTACACACAAACGGAAAAATTCTAAGGCTTATGTATGTATGTAAGCTCTAAAGGGTAGAGTCCCATAGATCTCTTTGAGTTGTGCCACTGCAGATGGTCTGTGTTTTGCTAAGGCAGCTCAGCGTTGACTATCGTAGGTTTTGCTGGTATTTTTGTAGCCTGTAGGTCTAATTGGGTAGCTCCCTGGCCTGCTATGATAACTACCTCCACCCAGTAAATTAACAGGTTTATACCCACAGATTGGTCACTAACGATATAGTTCAGTTCCTCTGGTGTGTAACAGCCGATAATGTATACTTTGCACTGGGTGACTGGTACACAAAGATGTAGCAATGCAATAGGTTAGACTAGAGCCCTGCTGTAAATTTATTAGGGCACGGCAGTGTCTTGTAATGGTTTTGGAATGGTCTTGGTACCACTTTTAACCATATTTGCTGGTGTCTGCAACTCCACAGAAGGCTATAAGGACATGCATACGGTCTTTTGCACCGTATAATATGTCTTCTGATTTCATACTTCCATAGCACCATAAATAGGAAGATGCAGAGTCTCTTGTTGCATCAGAAGACGTCTGTTTATATACATTTCACCACTGACTGTATTTCACCTGACTGTCGTAACATATATAAAGTGGAACATTAGAGAGGTGTCCTCATGTCTGTAGGGAGGGGTTCCACTGTACTGAATGACAGTTTACCTTCATTCGTAGCAGCATGGGCCGAGCTGAAATATTAACGCCGCCTTTGCCAGCTTAGGTCAGGGAAAACCAAAGAGGCGTTTATTTAAGTATACGAGGGTTTGTGTCTGTCTAAGTTCCGGGTGTGGTCCACTGACCGTATTAGCTGCAGAATCTAACTATAATATCACATTCACAAATCCAATCGTATCGAACTTTCCCGCAGTTCTCGCTCGCCACAACACTGGGAAAAGGAAGATACGTATGTACGTTCCACAGCTCTCGCAGAAGCTTTCTTAACGAAGAGTTCCAGTATATAGTGTGTCACGAATATTTTGCAGTGTGTAAAGGTCAATCCACTGATCATTAGCCTAAGGTTTCCTCCACCACACAAGGGGGCTTTTCAGAGTCCTTTTTAGGAAAGACAGCATGGGGCAGGTATTTGGCTGGTGTAATTATCATAAGTGCTTTTTTGTAGTAAGACCCTTTTTACCAATGGTGTAGCTTTTTGTGGCTTGTTGCATTTGGTCTGTTTTTGGTTCTGGGTTCGTGAGCTGTGAATCTTAACGAGAGCATGTAAGCAAAGGGTTAACCTATTGCGTACCATGCATGCACAGGTTTCTACCAAGTGGTGCCAGTCCGGAGTATGCAAACAGTCACGGATTTTTATACACACAGCGTTGTTTTTAGACAACGCTATGCACATTCACAAAAATTCCCCCCAGTGCACTAACTTGTAGACGCCACTTACGCAGACTGTGTAGCACTTATGCAGACTATGCATACATAGCATGTGAGTGTATAGGATCACATGACTAGCTATATACGGAAAATGCAGACTTGATTCTAAAAGGGGAAAGCCTTAGGGTTAGCTGTTGATTGTAGTTAGTTCGTAATGTGTATAGAGCAACAAGCTTACCAAGGAGAACGCCTGGTTTTATGCAGTTGAACCCTTCTCTAAGAACACCCCTGAAACGAGGACACATCTCTAAATAGGACACTTTCCCCAAGAACAGTTCTGGCACTAAATGTAACCCCTGAAATAAGGACGCTTCACTGATATGGACACTTTCTTCTGTCCCATTGGTGTCTGGATTAGAGAGGTGTCCTCATTTCAGGGGTGTCCTTAGAGAGGGGTTCCCACTGTACCGCAAACATATTAGAGTTGTCACGAACTGGAATTTTGGGGGGCATACCCATTTTACCGGATATATCAGTTTAGATTGCTAAAGGTTGCCGTGGTCACGAGGTAATCAAATATCCCCTAACAGGTGTGGTAGTCTGATAGCCATGACATCATTTGTAATTACGTCATGATTGGGGGTATTCCCCTGATGTAATTGGCTGTACGGCCCAGCCTGTCTGGCTGGCTAGAGAAACCGAGCCTTCCTGATGTTCGAAGTCACCTCTGATTTCATAACGTAAGAACTTTCTGTATACAGTGCCTTATACCTGGGCATGGTCGGTACCCAAACTATTCGTAGTGAAGTAGCTACAGTGATAACTGGTGTCTATGAGGGGGTGAGTGAGTGTTGGGGCGTGCGTGTCTATCTACACATGTCCGACTCAGACACACTGGCTAGGGTTTGGAGTTACCCCCCTCGGTGAATATCCAAACCTCTACTACATGACGTAGGATATCTGTGCCATGTCACAGAGTTGGTGGTGTATACCTTGTATTGCGTAGCACTGTCTGTATGTAACGTTATGACAATCACCTCTATAAAGGTTGCTGCAGTATTATACACACGAGTTATGTAAGCGCACATGCACTGGGGCACAGATACAGAAGTGATGTACACCATTATGAGTATTGCCTCTATAAAGCCTGCTCCGGTGTATTATACATATATGTATAGTGATGTATAAACCCCATTATGCTGTCCATAGACGTCGCATACCGTGGGGCGATGACTATGTTTTCTAAACCGATGCAAGGGGATGTACCACTTGTTATGATACCATATAAAACCGCGGCGTATGTACGTATGTATGTACGCATGTTATGCCGACGCAATGTTTGTAAGAGAGATGCTTACCGCCGAGAGGGGAAAGTCGGGGGGGGGATAGTGAATCTCAGAGTTATGAAGGAAATGCTGGTTCCGTAGTGAAGTGGGTGCTGCCTTCGTGGCTGGGCAGTTGTTTGGGAGAGCGAGAGGTTGCAAGGTGAGTAGCGTGTCCCGAAGGCTTTCAATACTTCAGTTTCAGTCTACAGACTTCGACGCTAGTACACAAAACGCTTACATACATACATACATACATACATACATACATACATACATACATACGTATGGTATGCACGTGTGTACGTGTGCATAGTATATACATGTGTATGTAGTAACCCTGGAATGTTATGTGGGAGCGTCCCTGCATAACTGTTGGAATGTGCTATATATATAATATACATACGCTAGCTATAATTATACTGACCGTGGTATATAAGTGTCTGTGTATCTATGTATGTATATTACAGGACTTCCAGTGCATGTAAAGTGATACCGGTTTGAGCTTAATAGTTCAACCACAACGGTTTCAGGGTGCCAATACAAATGCATGATGTTATGGGAGCAAAATGTCTGGCACAAACACAGTGAAACCGCTGACAAGGAACACCTCGAGGTCACTCAGAGGTGTCCCTGATTCTACGGTGAAGGGGAATTAAGTATCTTTGAACAGAGGTGTCCTTTATTCAGAGGGTAATTTTTGGGACGTTTCAACACGTTACAAACACGCTCCATTTCCTTTCGTTGCCTAGGTATCGAAACCACACCCCCTGGAGGCTCCACCCACCAGAAGCACTCGACGGTCTCGACGCTGGTTGCCACGTCGACAACGGGGGTCAAAGTTCAACGAAGCCACTCGTTCAACGCTGCCGGGAGCATGTCGGGGATGGGGGGCTGTGGTGACCATCAGCACAGGAGGACAGGAGGGAGTTCACGACTGCGTACTTCACTTGCTCGTCCTCAGTCTTACTACGAGGATGGCGCCAGCTCTCTGGTGATTGGTCAGAATTCACTGACGTCCTTCGCTACAGTACGTGTGGTACATACCCCTTCACTGTCTCTTGTGCAATATATGACATAATCTGCTCCAACCACCCCTTTCTTCCTTCTTCTCCTTTCTCTGTCTCTCTCCCTTCCTTTGTTCTTTCCCTCCTTCCTCCTCTCTCTCTTCCTCCCTCCCTCCTTCCTCCTCTCTCTTTCCCTCCCTCCCTCCTTCCTCCTCCCTCCTCCCTCCTCTCTCTCCCTCCTTCCTCCCCTCTTTTTCCCTCCCTCCCTCCCTCCTTCCTCCTCTCTCTCTCCCTCCCTCCCTCTCCCCTCGACAGAGTCAAAGCATGCAGAGTCTCTCAGGAGCGTCGACTTGCCTTAGTAGCTATCCCACCATCTCAACACACATCCCAACCACATACACAACACAGTCGCCAGATTCACCCGTCGAACTCGATGCACCCAAACGCCCCCTTGACCCCCCGCCTCTGCCCACACGCTCCGTCAAAATCCCGCAGCCGATAAAAAGCAATCCACCAAAGTGTTCGTCATCCTCCCGTCCCTATTCCAAACCGGCCGAGGATTTCGGTACCAAACACGGCACGGGGAAAGGTTTCGTTATTGCTGACGCTCCTCTCAAACCTGTTGAAGGGGGCAGAGAACAGAATTTTCAGACCCTCTGTCCATTTCCGTCCCCTGGGGGCCAGAAATTGGACCCCTCAGAGAGAAAATGTAACCCCACGAAACATCCACTTCTGGCATCAACAAGATCCGACCATCACCGTCACCACAGCGACAAGGTCCTTCAGGAACGGCTGAGCCACCCCGAATTGAACGCCAAGAAACGGGACATCCAGATTTCCAATCGCGCCAAAAGCTCGAATGACGTTCTACTTGGAAATTCTTCACGTCGGGACAACTCAGAGCATCCCCACGTTCCCTCGCCGACGCGGGAACACATCAGCTCACTGGCAAAATCCCTGTGCACGTCTCTAGAACTCCACTCGCAAACATCGCACCATCTCCACCCCTCCTCCTCCTCCTCCTCTTCTTCTTCTCCTCTCCACCCAGTTCTTCAAGGTGTCCGCGCAAGTCTCGCCACGCAAGCACACCGTTTTGGACTCAGCCCCGACCACCTAAAGTGCATTTCCGAGCTCGCCACCCCTCACCTGTCCTTCCCGTCTCTCGACTCTTCCTCCCCCTCTTCTCTCTCGTCTCTCCAGCCTTCTTTTCAGGAGGTTGATTTCGAAGTGGTAGAAGGTCCTCTTGACCGGCAAGTTTGGGTGGAGGAGGGTCCAGCTGCGAACGAGGTGTTTGCTACTCTACTGCTGAAAATACAAGTGTGTGATGCTCTCGTGCGGCTTCGCTCGCCGATGAACCAAGGTGACATCGTTCTCTTGAAGGTCAGCGTGTACAACAGTATGTAGGTCTGTATGATATCGAGCTCTTGTTTCTCCATCTAGCTATAGCTATAATAGTACATAGCCCTGAAATTCATGGCGTGCTCCCATTTAACTAAGTGTCTCTTTGTTAACTGCTTACTTGAAAGACACTCTTGCCAGTCGGTGGCATATTGATATATAATAAAGCCTGCGCAAACCGTAAGGATTTTATGGTCACGATAACTATAGAAGGAAATGAATGTTTCTTTAATGTGATATATATGAGTTTATCAGTTGTGCTTGGCCAACCAACATTCAGTGTTTGCTTGTGTAAGATTAGCAAGTTCCAACTCCCACCACATTCAGCACCGAGTCTATTAGGCTTGGGCAGGTAAACATTGGCCACCACATTAGTGCAGTGCAGCCCACAGTAGAAGACTATAGGCTAGCAAAGGCCACCAATAACTAGCTGCTAATCAGGAAAACATATTGTGTGGAATCATTCACCACTTTCACTGTTGTGACAGACTTGCTTTGAAGGTTAAAGACTCAGTTCCGATCACATGGCTGGCTGTGTGTATACCTTATAGGGTCCAGGGTCTTACCGTAGGTTCCACATTTTCTATACATTATACTGAACCTTCTAGGAACATCGCGTGTGTGTGTATTTGAAAAGTGTTACGTTAACATTTCATTACGGATACGCTTATTTCACCGTTACGGTGTGTGCGTGTGTATGCATGTGTACTTTTTCACGGCTATTACTGAACTGTGTTTTTGAGCGTAAAAATTCGAATGCCTATACAGCTACAGTATGGTGAACATGCCTGTTTGCAGCACAGTTTACACAAATTACGTTACGGCCAATCTCCATACTTCATAATTATACTCTCTCTTCTGAAGCTAGTGTGTTTGTGAGGTCTTTGTCAGTGATGCGAATTGCCCGAAACATGTACTAGTTACGCACGAGTTGCTAGGGGGAGTTAATCACAGCTGAGCAAACGTCACTAAGTCATTAATAGCCTTGAACGTCATATGCATATTCCCTAAGGAGCGCCGCCGCTATTTAGTTACATATGTATGTTGTTATTTTGTGCACGTGGCCTTTTGGAATGTTGTTGACTTCCTGGTAGGGAGAATATTACAGCTACAAGACATGCCGTACACAATTCGTGTTTACCACTTTGACATGTAAATAAACAAAATGGTGGGGTTGGTTTTTCATTTTCAGAATACCCTTAAAACGCCATTTATGGCAAGCTCAAATGCAGCGCTTTGTGTGAATTGGTAAACACTTCCCGTTCATTAGACCGCAGTCACGCGCAATTGACCAATCAGATTACAGAATTGCGGGGGGTTTATTTTTCATAGACACCTCGTTTCAGGTGTCTAATGGCGTTTGCAGGTGGTCTACAGCAAACTCCCCGTACAAAATGGCTATTCTAAAAAGTCGTTATCTGCGCAAACCGGCCGATTCCGCGTTCGGTATATGTAAGCGTAGAAGGCGCGACTGGCAAAGTAGCTCTTTTAAAATGCGTAGTGCACCTGCAAGAAGTCTGTGGACAGTCTCCGGAGCTCGCGAAAGTCAGAAATCACGTCAATATTCCACGAAAAAAGCGTCGGCTTCTTCAGCTCTGGCGATACACAAACACATTGGGCCGTTGCCGTGCGTTGCTAACCCTTTCAAACGCGCACCACCAATGAGGGCGTTTTATGATGACGTAAACGATTTTTGACGGGGGGCGGGGGCTGTCTCCTCGGAGTCTCACACGTAAAAAAAAGCGTCTTGTTCCATCCGAAGGTAAGGAATGAGGAATGAGCGCAGCGTTGCTAGCTTGTTGCTACCCATTTGAACGCGCAAACACCAATCAGATACTCCGGTCTAAACCGGTTAGACGCGGAAGCTCGGTTGTCTACGCAACATTGCAACCCTCGGGGCATGTGGGTAGCGCCCTCGCTGCGCTCGGGACGCCAACATTCCACAGCCCCTCGGGTTGCAATGTAGCGTGACACCTCGCTTCCGCGTCTAACCTATATTTAGTAACGAATGACGCGATAAACCTACATGAGATTTTCGTTCCGTTCCAGGTAAGAGTGAGATTGGAACCAGATTCTGGGAGTCTGGCCTCAACATCTCTGGGGTTGTTGGTCGGTTCTCTATCTGAAGTGGCACTGCTTCAAGACCTCCCTCCTCACCCCAACATCACTTCTGTTCTCTATCACTGCCGCGGACGGACGGAAAAATTCCGAGAGTACTTGACGCACCCCCCGTTACCGGGACACACGTCGTTGCTTCAGTCTCGTCCCGATTCCACGACGACACTCTGGGACAAGTCCAGTTCCGGAACCACGGAATGCGCGCACGGATCCGACAATCGACCGACGTACAGCCCTGCGACTACGGGTACGTTTCTATTCCAGTCGGCGCCGGGAGTCTCCCTCGAGAAATACTTCAGCGATTTTCTTCACGCCGAGCAAAAGGAGGTAGCAATCGAGGACAAATTTCTCAACATTCTCGCGCAGCTTTTACTGGCAGTCGCACATCTCCAGAAGAACCTGGTGTCTCATTGTTCGATCAGCTCCCGAAACGTGTACATCTCGGACAAGGGCAGTAAAGTTGTGCTGGGGGACTTCGGACAGGCCATGAATCTGCGTCCGAAAAACCTCGACGTGTTTCGAAAGTCGATCAAGCAGCTGAAGGCGAGCAAAACAAGAAAGCTGTCGCCCGAAGCGGAACGTGGTCTCGCCAGTTGCGACACGGACAGCGTCACGTCCGCGTCGTGTCACGCGGTGCAAAATCTCGAGGAATCGTTCTCCATGAGTGACTCATACGCAGTCGGGGCGCTATTTTACGACCTGTTCGGTGGAAAGGAGCATTCTTTTTCCGAATCGGAAACACCCTTTATCCATTTCCTGTCGTTCAGATGCAATCACTTACTCCAGAAGCTAGTCGCGCGGAACCCCTCTGACAGATTTTCGGCCCTCCAGGGGGCAATTTCCTGTTTCGTTCTTCTATTTGGCCCCCGAACTTCGGAAATTTCCGGACCTAGTGACTGTCTTAACTGGCTTGTGTCGGAATCCCTGGAACTATATCTCAATCCTGTTTTACGGGATTCCGTAACTGGTTTGTCCGAGGCAGGGTGCAAGCGTCGGCTCCGCTATTCTTATCTCGTCAGCGCTCGACCGGAACTCGTGTACAACAGCTGCAAGTTCTTCAGCAATGACTGAGTCACATCCACCACGCACGCGCACCAGACCGACGTGCGCGTGTGCGCCTGTCTGTGTGTGCGTATTGTGGAGCGACGGTTTGTGTGTCCTTGTGTGTAAAGGTACATCGTGTTCACACACACACACACACACACACACAGAGTCATAAAGTCTCATATTCAGTATAAAAAATCATGCATGAATTATACTACAGTTCAGTTGCATTCGCTACCGTTTTTCAGCCTACATGTGTGAGATTCTATATATAATAATTCTGCTTTATCAGTTAATATTTTTGTTACATGGATTGGTCATAATAATAAATCATTGTAATAGCTGACATCACTAGCAAGTCACATGGTTAAATATACAAAACCACCTGACTATCACGTGACTCATCAGGCCTCTACGAACATAGTAATGAGGTCGTAGGCACGGGCTGGTTGGTCATGGGGAAGTATGTGTCCTGCTCCCCTTACGACTACCTGCAATAATATAAAGCACAAGAAACCTTTTAAAATAGGTCACTTTTTTAACTTTACGCGAAACTTTTGCAGTTTTAAAAATTAAGTCACTAGCTAGAGCAAGGCCATTTCAATTCGATTCAGTGGAGGGAAGCAAAATTAATGATTATTTACGAGAGTGAGGAGGACAAGCAAAGCCCTAGGCCAGTGTGGATGAAAGGTTATCTCCAAGACGAGAAGTGGCGAGATTCGATAAAGTGGGGGGGCAGCTGCCCTTCTTCCCCTTCCTAAGATTATACCATCTTACGTGAGGCACCTCGTAAACATTGCAAGCAACAACAATGTTTCCCTTCGTATGATAGCAAGTTGCTTTGTTTTTTGGTTTGTTTCTCGTAACATGTTGAATGCTCTTTCTGGTACGTAACTTGCTGCTGAAAGTTGATTGGGCAAAATGAAGGGGTCAGAGCCAGAGTGATCCAACCCTCAATATACAACTCTTGCCGGTTTTTGTTCTATAAGGACATTTTGAAGGAAAACCGGCAAGAGTTGTATATTGAGGGTTGGCCCACTCTGACTCTGACCCCTTCATTAATGATCTCCTGGCAGCATTATTATAATACCTGCCAGAAGTTTGACACGTGGCGAATATAGCCAGCTACTTCACTGCTTCCTTCAGTCTTCCACACTTCCTTCTTTACTGCGAGGTAGTCTTTCTGGCCTGACCACTGCAACACCTTTATGGGTAAGGGAGGGAGGCGGGAGAGAGGAAGGAGGGAGGGGGAGAGAGAGGAAGAGAGAGGAGGGAGGGGGAGAGGGAGAGGCTTTTCATTTGTCGATTTGTCTTAAAAATTGGTCTTTAATTTACTCCGCTTTCCCATGTACCACAAGCGGTTTCTTGTGCTAAAATATGATAATCACACACAGCTCGTATTTATCATACCTGTAGATATCGCTCTGTCAGTGGGGCTCCAACAATGATATCCAACTGTCCGTTATAGATGAGAACCTACGATTGGGTACCATATTTCAAAAACGCGCCGGCAAAACTTCTTGGAGAAGTTAAATG